CAAAAGGTTCGATTTCAACCGTCATAGAGAATTCCTAAATAACCAGGGAGGTGATTTTTTATGAATGAAATAGACACAGTCAATTCATCATTTCCATTGATTGAAGAACCTGGACGCACTCAACCTCTACCCTATATTAACTCAAATAGTAATGATATAAACATACTCTCCTGCTACTATCAAAATATAAGGGGACTTAGAACAAAATTAGACGACTTCAATAGGGCTCTACAGGTATGTGATTATGATATAATATTCATAACAGAATCCTGGTTGAATAATGGATTCCTAGATGCCGAAATATGTGATACTAAATATACAGTCTTCAGACAAGATCGGAATTATGAAGAAGCTAATTGTACTCGTGGAGGCGGTGTTATGATATGTGTCAGATCTACTATCTTCGCAAGAAAAATTGTTTTTGCTGATAGTTTGAATTTCGAAGATCTGTGGGTAGAGCTAAAAGTCGCTAACAAGAAAATAATATTGTGTGCTGTGTATATATGTCCTGGTTCAAGTGCTGATACGTACCAATCTTTTGCTACGAAAGTTCTGAACCTAAGAAGAAACAACATAAACTCAAACTTCATTATCACTGGTGATTTCAACCTTCCTCAAATCGCTTGGAGTTACGATGAACATGTTCTCGTAGCTAGCTACCGTTCTGAGCTACGCATTGAAGTTCTCCTGGACGAATTTGCTGTCATGGATTTTCAACAGTTCAATAATATCATAAACTGCTCTGGAAAGATTTTGGACTTAGTTTTTTCTGATGATTTGTCAGTTGGTGTTGAGCATGCAAAATTATGTCTACTCAGTAATCACCCATCTGATCCCTATCACCCTGCACTAGAATTCAAACTCGATTATAAAGACGTGGTTCTCTCATCTCATTCTGTTAAAGAAAAAGTATTTTTGTATCATAAAGCTGACTATACTGGTCTGATTGAATACTTCTCTAATGTTGACTGGCCATTTTTATCTGGCTCAACATCTATTGATAGTGCGGTTTCCTCTTTTTATGAAGTGTTATTTGATGGTTTCAAACAATATGTACCACGAAAATTCAAAGCCACTACTAAATATCCTAAATGGTACAGCAAACACCTGATTGATCTGATTAAATTAAAGAACAAACTCTATAATAAGTATAAACAAAGTGGCTCAAATCAAGACTATGAGGAATACTCTAGTGTAAGGAAGGAATCCAAATACCACATTGATATGTGCTATCTTTTGTATCTTACAAATACAGAAATTAAGATTTCCGAAAATATTAAATACTTCTGGTCTTATGTGAACTCCCTTAAGAAAAATAATGGCCTACCTACAATGATGGAGTATAAAGGAATAACATTGGATACTTCACAAGAGATAGCAAATGCATTTGCTGATCATTTTCAGTCATGTTTCTCGGAATTTCTTGAAGTTGAACTTCCAAACTTCCCTACAACGAATACTCCCCATCAATATAGTTCAGTTTTGACATCTCACACTTTCAGTGAAGAGGAAATCGAGAATAAGCTATGTAACTTGGACATAAATAAAAGCGCGGGTCCCGATGGAATTCCACCGGTACTGCTCAAACAGTGCCGCCAGGTATTGTCCCTTCCACTTAAAATTATTTTTCAAAAATCATTTGATACTGGAATATTTCCAACCGTATGGAAATCATCACTGTTATCACCAATTTTTAAATCAGGTAGTAAAAGCGATATTGAAAATTACAGAGGTATATCTAAAATTTCGTGCATTCCGAAAGTTTTTGAGTCAATTTTAACAGATGAGCTTTTTTACAACTTTAAACATGTTATTGTTAACGAACAACATGGTTTCTTCAAAGGTCGTTCTACAGCTACCAACTTAGGAATTATGCAAAATTTTCTATGTAATAAACTCGAACAAGGGTTTCAGGTCGATGTCATTTACACTGATCTTGCCAAGGCATTTGATTCAGTTAATCATAGTCTACTTATTCATAAGATGAAAGCACTTGGTGTTGATGGAAACTATTTGAAATTGATTACGTCTTATTTAGACAAGCGAAATCAGATTGTCAGAGGATCCACCTCTAAAACGATTAATGTTACCTCTGGCGTGCCTCAGGGATCCCACATTGGACCAATTCTATTTTTATGCTTTATCAACGATGTTATCAATTGTTTCGAAAATTGTAATGTTTTACTTTACGCAGACGATCTCAAATTCTACAGAGTTGTATCATCTCAAGATGACAGTCTTTTGATTCAGAATGACCTAATCAATTTTAGCAATTATTGCCAGCGGAATTTTTTGAAAATCAATATTGATAAGTGTAAAATCATGCGTTATTATAAAATACTGAATCCATGTATATACAATTACAATATTGATAAAGTCGATCTGCAAACAGTAGCTAGTATCAGCGATTTGGGGATAATATTTGACAAAGAACTCACTTTCAATGATCATATCAACAATATCTGCAATAAGTCTCTCAGAATGGTGGGTTTTATAAAGAGGCAAGCTAGAAATATCTCAGATCAGGATGCAATTAAAACGCTGTATATTTCACTAGTTCGGAGCGTTCTTGAATATAATAGTATCATCTGGTCACCAGTATACAATTGTCACAAGAGCCGTTTAGAGAGAGTACAAGGTCGGTTCACAAATTTTCTTGTTTGGAAACTTGGACTTTCCTTCCATGATCTCGGCCCTCTAACTAGAATTTCATTGTTGAATCTTCAAACTTTAGAAGATAGACGAATTATTGCCATGACAAACTTTTTATTCAAAATTGTAAATGGTATTATAAACTGCCCTGAAATATTGGAAAAATTAACATTTCACGCCAATCCTAGGGCTACGAGAACCTGTCACACTTTCTACGTGAAAACCCACCGTACTAATTATGGTCGTACTGCTTTCTGTTGTAGACTTCAAGAAAACTACAATCTCCACTACTCATCAATAAATATATTCAATGTCTCTAATCAAGTATTCATGAAACAACTCAAATCCCACTTCACTAATACTACCTAAATGTCTGAAAAAGTAATTACTTTGTATCCTCATTCCCAATATGTACCTATATGTTTATCTCGTTTTATATATATAATATACTTGTACACATATACTTAAGTATTTTAGTTTTTATTTGTTTTTGATGTTTTGTTTTGTTTGTTTGCTCGTTAGTATAGTCATAGTCTTCTATACTGTACCATTTGGAATTTTTATCGAATTCTGTAGTGTACTTAAGTAAATAAATAAATAAAAATAAAGATGAAATATTTGGCAGAAATGATCACTTATAATGGATTTTTCTACCTTTGCCTGGGTCATCCAAATATTTGTGAAGATGCTGTCTAGTAGGGATCCGCTCCCTCTAGGATTTGGTCTGGTTATTTCATTGATTGTTATCCATAGCACAAAAGCAGTTGTTCAACCACTTTAATTTTTTTTTTTAGAAAACAGAATTTGGATGTTATAGGATTATATCCAGGAGTTCACAGTCATTTTCTGTAGTGAAACATTCAAATCAGTATTTGGTGAACGATATACACGCAATACTAAAATTTAACAAACTATATTGAACATTACGAACAAATATTGCTGTACTACCACCTATTCTATTGCTACGACAGTAATGATTTGCAATCAACTCTCGTAATTTGATCGGTAGAACACCAGTGTTTTGTCATGTAGAAGATATCTACTTCATTATCTCGAAGATGCACTACTTGAACTCCAAAGGAGCAGAGACTGCAAAACGTTTCAATATTGGTCTATTGGAATCTGATGGAATTTCTATAACTTCCAGTTTTACACTTTCAAGGATACTTTTGTTGGCGAAATAATCCTGTTTCATTTTTTCAGTCACATTGCTGTTAATCCTGTAGAGATAAATCCACTATTTTCTCTCGGGCTAATACTTTGAGGTTTTGATGCCTGTTGTTTAGTTTTTGTAGTTTCACTAATTATTGTTTGCTGTTGTATTTTACGTGGGTTTTCTAGTAGCAGATGATTATTTGCTTTGAACACTGTTTTTGTCACTTTCTTCATTCAATAATTCTTTAAGATACACGGCTTGCCATAACATTTCATTACGGTACAAACTTCATTATCTTTCGGTTGCACGTTCGACCCATCGTCATTGTCTGCCGCCATCTTGTCATTCTATTCAGCACCTGCAGGAAAACAGCATTAAGATATTCAGAAGTACTTAGCAGAAATAAGTTACCTAAGAATTATTACGAAAATTCACCATCTGGACAACCCCTTACACAAACAACCCTTCCAACACTTAACTTATAGTTCACAGAGTAGTACCCATACTCCAACGTTTCCACCGACTCAGCAAAACATCGCAAAATCTACCTTCAACAACTGCAACTGAAAATACATGTTATATGGAAATAATGTTGACCACTTTTTATATTCAGTACCTCTTCATCATCAAATTGGTGCACAACACATTCAACAAAATTATGAATTTTGGGAAGTGATCTTCTCTCATCCCTTAAAACCTCCAACTCTTCATCACCACTTGTTGATGATGATTATAGGCAAAATATAGGGTATATATATATAAAATGCTGTAAGAACATGTATGCCTTGCCATATTATGTTATGACTATGTTTTCATGAAAAACTCTGTAGAAAACTGTAGAATCATCCTGTGGTACAAGGTGCAGAAATAGACTTGGCCTTTGGACTGTATATGAAAGTTACAACTGCTTAAAATCTAACGAAAAGTTATTCAAGTGCCACAAGTGGTATCAATCCAATTGAAACTTCGAGGAGGTTGAAAAATTGTGGGATTGTTACAAATATGAAGTCCACAAAAATCAAAATTGTTTTGTTTGATTTCACCACCCTGAATATTTCAAACTAAGGAATCCGATCAGCATTTACTTTGTATTTACCAATTCTCTATACCTTTCGAAACAAACCCTTGTCACTGAAGACATGCACTACCCAAAATTTTGTTTACAAAATATCCAGGTCAATTTACGTTTTAGTGAGTATCCCAGATGAACAATTGAAAGAAAACTTGATATCTCTACCGTATAAGGAGCCACTGTGGTCTGGTCTACCATCAAGTTTGGGAAATGAGTATGTATTTGAAGTCTTGAAAAATGGGTCAATTATAGAAACCATCAATCTCATGAGCAGGGCGTTCTGGGTGTTTGGCAGAATCACCAGTTGCAACATTTGCATGCAGCATCCAACAATATCAAGGTAATTTAGGTTTTATTTATTTATATTCCTATTTTCCTCGATAACAGACAATTAGATATATTGCAAAACATAACAAAAATTCTAAATAGGGAAATGATAATTGCCTGTAAATTTTATTTTTCAGCATACTTATCAAGGTTTAATGTTCATTCGCCTTAGAAGCTATTAAACTAGGACACAAACACTTGTCAAACAAATTTTTCAACGATTTTAACTGAAACTTTTTGTTGAGAAGAAGATTGAAATTATCTAGGAAATTATTTTTTTTTACTTCAAGCCTTTATGCCTCAGAGAACAAAACTTTTCATTTTCCAAAAAAAAATTTCTCGACCTGAAGGTAAATAATTATGTATATGATTTGACGCTTGTCATCACTGACATTTTCGAACTTCCATCATTCTCAGATTTAAAACGTCAGTTCTGAAAATTGAATAGGCGTCCCCGCGAAAATTCTTTCGAATATGTCGTGGTCAGTAACGAAATGCAAAAATTCTATGAATGATGGTAACCATTTATTTAAGCTGCCCAAAAACGATAAGACATTTCAAGTGTTCCTTAAAGCATCAAATTCCAATATTTAATTCATGGAAATACATACAATGATGTTATATTGATACAACTATGCATTATGTGCCTTTGGTGACACGACACTATAAGGTTTCAAATAATAATGATAATATGTCTGCACTCGTTCAATGCAGGGGTACAAAAAAATTACATCCCATCCCTCATAAAACATATTTGTGTCTCATGTTTTTAGTTCAGCCGTTTAATAACATGACAAGTGTGTCCACACTCTTCAAAGGACGGGAAATAAGATGTTCGAGGCACTCTAATCCAAGAATTAGAATTTGATTTAATTACCTACATCTTTTGGCGATTTTAGAGCCAACCAACCGAACCAAGCAGCCATCAAAACAAAATAGTCCTGCATGTACAGTATTCTTAACAAGTAATAGGTATAGCTGTTCCTCCAGAACAGTGCTCCTATGTAACAATAACGCTGATGATGAAGCTTTAAAGCTTCGAAACATGTCCCTGTAAGATTGCTTACAATAAAGTATAGCTTTGGTAAAGTAGACCGTGAGAATTCTGTCCTGTCCTATCACTTATCATATCTTTGCACTCAGCACCAAAAGAAAGGAGCATACAACACGCGTTGAACTAAACAACGATCAACTCAAAATGATCAATAGTCAATACTAGCGGTGAGCAATTTTATCGATATACAGGGTGTTTCATTGGGAAAGGTAAATAATTCAACTGTGGATAGGGGTCATTGGGGTGATTTCAAAAAACCCATGGTTGATGGGTCTTCGACTTCTTATAACCGAGATACAGGATGTTTCATCAATTTTGTCCATATCTTCATTGTCTCATAACTTTCCAGACGAAATTTTTCAATTTTATAACTTCCTATTCAGTATACGTGAGTATCACATTTAGAAGGAGCATTTCATATCGTTCTTTATTCCAGACTTAGTTGCAGGTCCGTCATCAAAACTATACAGGGCTTTTCACGATGAGCGTTAATTTGACGTTTTCGGCTAACCAGGCAACGGATAAATCTGAAATTTCGATGGTATGTACAAATTAACATAATCTACACTACTGAAATATTTGAAACGATCCGGACTTGCCGCTTCTACTAGAAAGTAGCAGCAACTTCGATTTTTCAAATGGGACACCCTGTATTCCATTAAATTCTTGGATTCTTGCTGAACAGCAGAATTCATCGATTCAAAACATTCAAGGTCTAGCGGAACTGATAACTGAGATATAGGATGTGGAAAATCGAGATGTTTCAACTTTAGAAATGTTTTGTGTTGGAACTATTTATTATTGCATGGTCAAAACGGCTTCAATGTCCCTATCTCAACTTTACATTCGATATTCAATTGAAACAGATACAGGGTGGTGCAGAAATCTGAATTATGAACCATCCTGTATTTGTTTCGATTAAATGTCAATAGATACAAAGTTAAGATAGGGACATAAAATCCGTTTTGATCAATAATAAATATTTTCGCAAAATAATTCTGAAGTTGAAACATCTCGATTTTTCTCACTCTAAATATCTGAGTTATTAGTCCCACTAGACACCGAACTTTGTGAATCGATTAAATCAGCTCTTCAGGAAGCATCCATGGTGTCCCATTTGAAAAATCAAAGTTACTGCTACTTTCGAGTAGAAGCGGCAACGCCGGATTGTTTCAAATATTTCAGACGTGTAGATCATGTTAATTTATACATACCTTCGAATTTTTAGATTTATCCGTTGCCTGGTTTGCCAGAAACATCTAATTAACGCTTATCGTGAAAAGCCCTGTATAGTTTTAATGACCTGCAACTAAGTCTGGAACAAAGAACGATATGAAATACTCCTTCTAAATGTAATACTCACGTATACTGAATAGGAAGTTATAAAATTAATAAATCTCGTCTGATTCCAATTTGGTACCCCAAAATGAGCAAAAATAATATTTTGAGCACATAATATGAATAGTTAAAATCGTCTGTGCACGAATAAAAAGCACATCGTTGAATAGAAATTTCGATGTTCTTTTCAGATATGGCAAAAAAAATGGGAAATTCGAATGTATAGGGTGTTGTTTTCTGGCAGAAAGAATTTGTGAATTTTAAGTGAAGCCGGACCTGGATTTTATCTTTTGTTGTTGCCTCAATCAATTCCATAGGATAGATTGAGCAAGTGTACCAATTTTTAAAAATATATACAGGTTGGTTGGAAAGTTATGAGACAATGAAGATATGGACAAAATTGATGAAACATCCTGTATCTCGGTTATAAGAAGTCGAAGACCCATCATCCATGGGTTTTTTGAAATCACCCCAGTGACCCCTATCCACAGTTGAATTATTTACCTTTCTTAAGGAAACACCCTGTATATGGATTATATCGCTAATAAATCAGATAAATAATTATCGATTTATCGATAATATCGTTAATGCCAACTTATCGATTGATCGACAATATCGGTGATATCGATGATATCGATGATATCGATGATATCGATGATATCGATGATATCGATGATATCGATGATATCGATGATATCGATGATATCGATGATATCGATGATATCGATGATATCGATGATATCGATGATATCGATGATATCGATGATATCGATGATATCGATGATATCGATGATATCGATGATATCGATGATATCGATGATATCGATGATATCGATGATATCGATGATATCGATGATATCGATGATATCGATGATATCGATGATATCGATGATATCGATGATATCGATGATATCGATGATATCGATGATATCGATGATATCGATGATATCGATGATATCGATGATATCGATGATATCGATGATATCGATGATATCGATGATATCGATGATATCGATGATATCGACGATATCGATGATATCGATGATATCGATGATATCGATGATATCGATGATATCGATGATATCGATGATATCGATGATATCGATGATATCGATGATATCGATGATATCGATGATATCGATGATATCGATGATATCGATGATATCGATGATATCGATGATATCGATGATATCGATGATATCGATGATATCGATGATATCGATTTTTTATCGATTGGAGCGCACGAAAGGGAATCCCTATAATGTTCAAAGAACATCGTGCGTTCCTAGGGAGGATAGGGACAGGAGGTAAGTATTGGAATTTTTTTTGAATTTTTGGAGATTATATGTTTTTGGGAATACTTCCACAGGCAATGAATTCCAGATTCTATGGATGAAGGAGTGTTGATAAAGTGCTGTTCGACATCTTTCGAGGTTGACAACGAAAGGATGTGCTGACTGGGCTTGTCTAGTTCGTCTGATTGGTATTGCTAGTGAAGGGATGATTGCAGAGATTTCCGAAGAACATTTCCCGTGGAAGTATCGATAAAAAAGTGAAAGGTCGCCGACCTTTCTACGGTGTTCCAATGATGTCAAAGAGTGAGTGAGTGTGGTGTCACCCACCAGGCGAATGGCTCTTCTCTGGATGGAATCTAAGAGCATCAGCGTATGTTTTGGTGCTGAACCCCATATGTGGGAACAGTATTCTAGAACAGGCCGTATCTGCGCTTTGTAGATCATGAGAAGCTGTTGAGGTGTTAAGTAGCTTTTCGCACGGAACAAGAATCCGAGTTTTTGTGAAGCAACTTTTGCGATGGATCTGACATGATTATCCCATGAAAGAGTGTTGCTGATGGAAATACCGAGCATAGATATGGTGGGCTTGGTGGGGATGGTGGAGCCAGACATTACAATATCGGGCATACTGAGTTCCGCCTTTCTAGAGAAAATGCAGGCTTGAGTTTTGGTGGCGTTGAATTCAACTAGGTTGTTCGTTCCCCAGGCTGTGATTTCAGCAAGATCTTCATTGACAGCATTGACCTGCCTGCGCCGTGAGTTCTTAGTTTCCTGGGAAGAAATGGGAATTCTGGAAGAGAAGGCAGTATGGAGGGTACTATCATCTGCAAAGCTGTGGATGGGGCAAGTTGTTACTCCCAACAGATCATTGATTGACTTAATTAGGCCGGCGAAGCGGCGCATTTGTCGGCGAAAGGCCTGCCCCAGCCGCGCGTTTGTCGGAAATTCGGAGCTCCTCGTAGTCCGTACTTTGTTGTATTAAAGCGGCAAAATCGACTCTACCCAGAAAAAGGTTATACGTATAATTCATGAAATATCAACGCCGCTCTAGTGGTTACTCTGGAAGATTTCTCTTTGAAAATTTGCGACAACATTCCATTGCCACATTCCATTACTTCGCCTTTTAAACGAACAGACTATAGGAGCGCACAAGTTCCGAAGCTTCATTCCTCCCATACATCCGACAACACCGCCCTATTACAAACTGAGTCCAGTCATAGAGGGATGCTGTTCGGGTGAAATAGACGTTTCTTCTGGGCTCTCATGCACCTCAATACATTCACCAACACCGGCCTATCCAAGAGCGGATCCAGATTTATCGTCAGG